ATCTACGAGTATCACCCACTCTACTCCTAAACAATGGTTCCAGAAAATAATACTTACTCATCGCAGCCTACATTCACCACACTACCCAAAACCCTTTTCACAGTTATGTTATATAATGAAAGTCTGGGTGGTGGTAGCTACTCTGTGTAAGTATAAAAGAGTTGTACTAAGAGTAACATGGTTCCCCTAGACTAACCCAGTATGTATAAGAACAGACATAAAATAAAATATACTTCCGGAAAGGTAAGAACATTGAAACTGGAGAATATAATATATATGAACGAAATGAAAAAGACTTGGAAAGTACAAGAAAAGCAAAGATAAGACAGGTATGTACATTGTGAACTAATCTACACCACATAGAAAATTACATAAACATATATACCGCGAAAGTTTAAGATAAAGGAACATACATAACTGAGAAGAATTACTTGTATAAGAATCTAAAGTATACTATAACTACTAAAGAATTGAAGAAGAATCATAATGAAAAGAATATCTGATGGTAAATTATAAAGAGAAAATTCGGCCCATTACACGCGACTAAGGAAACAGTCACTATATGCAATAAAATGATTCAGTATTGCTTATTACTGAATATGTATTTGATTGAATTAATGTTTATATATGAAAATGAGCAATGCAAGTCATTAATACGATGTGAGGAATATTAAAACACACACGCAGGAGACAAGACGGCATTGTTTTCATGAAAGTGACGATGGTTCTACATAAGAAACTGAAGAAAATAAGACCCTGGTTGTAACTGTAGTGAACTTAATTTTAAAGAATTGAAAAACCTGTATGTGTTTTTAAGTAATGTTATTTAATGTTAATAAATGAACACTGATGAAGCAATCACTAATAGTAAAAGAAATAAGAAGCAGAACATTGGGAACGCCAACACTTATTTACTGTTCATATATGTTTTGAATAATATTTATGAATGTAAACTAAAATTTATTCACCAATTGCGTAAAGTCTAAAAACATAAGGACAAAGCCAATGAACATTGTATGAAGTTTTTATTCAGATGACGAAGCTCAATAGGTTCAACTTGGCCGAAGCTGTAGGTTCGACTTTGGCTGAAGCTGCAGCTCATAAAGCTGTTGCAGAAATTTTTATTGAACCCAGTTGATGTTAGTTGCTTATGATGCTGAATTTGATGGTTTAGGCCTTCAGTAAAAAAAAAAGCTCTGAAAGAACCTTGCACAACTGCTTTTTCATTACAGGTATACATTTTGATGTAGAGGTCATTTACGTTTATTTAAATTTTAAGGCTTTGTTCTGTAAATGGATCCATTTCAGAAAATATGTTCATTGCTTGCTCTATATAATACCCACAGACATCTCACCATTTTCATATTGTTTTAACACATCTAGTTTCTTGGCTAAGCTCATATACTGTCTATTAGCTTTTGAAACAAGACTGGCCATCACTTGCTTATGTTGAATAGGGATGCAAATATGCTGTAAGAAACCAGAGTTTTTTTCTCCAGTTCCCGTTCAAGATGCGTGAAAACTAAGGCCAGCCAAGCTCCTCGAAGCGTTAGTTTTGCCACTATTGTAAGGCAGCTTCTTTTTAATACAGCGCTTTCATTTTTTCACGTTAATTTTTTTTTCTATCCATATTAGATTGTTATTATTTATATGAAAATGCACTTTCAGTATTATACTTTGGTCAGAAATACAAATGAAATAAGGATGTAAACTGAATTGGGTCCTAAATTATCTAGGGTTTCAAATACAAATTAAATAAGGATGTAAACTGAATCTGGTCCTAAATTATCTAGGCTTCAAATACAAAAAGAAAGTTGGACGGATCAGGTTGCGCTATCCTGAGGCTTTACTGTACAGGTAAAAGAAATAATTGGTCCTAAAGGAAAATAAATACAATTCATTGCACACGAAAGTACAGTGATCCTCAGTTAACTAGCTACCGGTTAAATCTAATTACCTTCTCAGAAGCTTCTTGACTTGTTAACGAGCAATCCTCGACAATCTAGTTTCTACTAATGACCTCAACATAAAGCTTGCACTGGCGGTCAACCAGCTGTAGTATTAGTCCGCCTAACAGAATGGGCTTCTAGGGCTTAAATTCCTTACTATTTTAGTAAATATCAAAGAAGTTTCATACTATTCACAATTTTAAAAAGTTTAATATTAAATTTTTTTGTCATTTTAACAATTATTGAAATATAATTGAAGGTAATGAAACCTTAGTTTTATGCACGCCATCCAGCCTGTCAACACACCATACAGGCGCCTAGCCTCTGTCTTTTCTTCAGTGAGGTAAAAATCTTTATGGATCTCTCCAACCAAATGCTTTTTTTTTCTGTGTTTCAAAGCAAATTATTGGTCATTTTGAAATTTATTTTACATATTGACAATATATACAAGAGTGGTGTTATTTTAAAGAAATTATGCTTTTACTTGCTAGCAAGCTTTTAAACTTAAAATAGCACGTGTTAAGAGTGTTTGAATCTGCGCATGGAGCCTAAGAGATAAAAAAAAGTAACTTCAATCCAAACTACGCAGGAAATTATAAAAAACATGAAGGCATTAGGAACAAATGCGCTTATGCAAAGAATATGCAGCATGTTGACATCAACTTATCGATAATTCTTGCACAGAAAGAAAAAATTTAAAGAAGAAAAGTGAGACACAAATCTACCGGTAAGAAGGTAGATCCCTAATTGCAGAAACAGAGAGGTTACTTCATCTGGATTAGAGAAAACAGATGAAAGGGTGATTCAGTTTCTACTGAATTTATTTGTGAAAGAGCCAGGGATTTATACAAACATTTAAAGACAGATCAACCTGAGGCTGGTTCGAATTTAAGAAAATATGACATTTTCAGTGTTAGGTTAGGCATGGTGAGGCTGCTAGTGCTGATAAGGAAGGGCAGCAAAGCTTTTAGTGGAGCGAAAGAACTGGTGGAAGAAAAATTATCTTCCACAGCAAGTGTTCAATGTGGACAACAAAACTGCTGTTTTTGTAAAAAGATGCCCAAAAGAACATTCATCATTAGAGATGAAGCCTTACTCTGGGGTATAAACCCATGAAAGACCGCCTCACTTCGCATTAAGCTTGGTGCCATCAAGCTTCAGGATTTCACTGAGCCTATGCTTGTTCATTTCACTCTGAGAACCCTAGTGTTCAACAACATTATGACAAGAGGAAATCTTTTGGAGTTTATTGAAGTCCAACCGGTGAAGGCATGGGTGACAAGACAGCTCTTTAATGAATATAGGGCTGTTATGTGTTTTGCCCTTCTGTCAAGAGCCACTCTAACCACCAATAACCCCTTTAGTGCCTCTTTTTCTCCTCATGGATAGAATGCCCCTGGCAAGACCCTGAACTTGCTACAGAACTTTTGGAGTATCAATTTGACTTTGTGAAAGTGTTGTTTTGCCTCCTAACACTCCATATATCAATCATACAGCCAATGATGGTAATGTGATCAGCAACTTCAAGAAGTTGTACATGAAGAAAATGTTAAGGTGTCATCAGGCAACTTCCACTGATCCTGAACTACAAACAGTTCTGGAAGACACATCTCAACATCCTGGAGACTGTAAAATTGGATACTGTAGTGTCACCATGGCAAAAGTTCTCCACTAGGATCCCTCAATTCTTTCATGGAAAGCAGCACTGTGGCCAACAGTCCATGATTTTGAGGGATTTTAGATGACACAGAGTTGTACCAGGAGATTGTGTCCATTGGTCGTCATTGGGCCTTGGGGCGGAGGAGGATGTCGAAGAGCTTGTGATGTTTCATGAGGAGGAACTTACTCCCTGATGACTTGCAACAACTGGATGAGATGTTAGGAAGCTGACAGTGTGGAGTGAAAAGGATAGTGATGACCATATGTCAACTAAAAGAGTTGAAAGGATGCTATTTACTACTGGGAGTAGTTCAGGAAACTGGCTTCAAGGCAATCTAGATGTGGTGTAATCTGAATAAACTTTTAGGTCATGTTGAGGACACAATGGTCTCCCTTTTAACACACATAAGTTAATGATTAGAGAGATGCCCTGGCCAGAATACAATTGACACTTTCTTTCAGTAAAAGGCAGAGGGAACAAGATGCTAGCCCTCAGCCTTCCACTTCAAGAAGGAGAGAGATATTCCTGCTGGAGAATCTATCAGTCCAGAGGTTCCCTTGACATTTTCATGCGGAAGGTGACTCCCCTTCCAGATGCAGTAAATAGCTCCCTCCACCTTCTCTTCTCCCTCCACCTGCCACTTCAAATTCACATCAGCACATCATCCAAGGGAGCCTACTACACACCTCAAAGTAAGTGTACTTTTCTACCTTTTTTGTTGAATTTAGGCAATTTTGGCGACTGGAACCAATTAATCAAAAACCATTGAAACAATGGTTTGATTAAAAGCAACCTCCTGGAACGGATTGTGCTCGTTAACCTAGGGACCACTGTAATAATGTACCCTCCCCACCCTGATCAGCAAATGCTATTCACAGCCATTTTGAGAATGCATTCCTCGCAAATTTTAAGGGCATGCTGGAGCTATAATGCCCTAATATATTGTGTTGTCAATCTGCACAAGTCATGTACAGTATTGACAACAATAAATGCTCTTGGTTTTATTGCTTGTTAATCTCAATTTAATAAAATTTGGATGTTTCTGAGTAAAAATGGTGCCTTTTTTATGCAACCCTTTTCATTTTACCATCTCTGAAGACTAGTTGACCATCATTACAGGGATTTTATATGGGCACTCTTGGGTAGGCCTTTATAGCAAGATTTTATATCAATTACAGATATAAATTACATGTTTTGTTACTGCATATTTAAGTTTTTTTTATTATTATTAAACAATGTATTAAATTTTATGAGTGTAAAAACGAGACTCATTACTGTACACACACTACTTGAATCTGAACATGTTATCAAGTACTGTACTGTATCAACTACCTCAGTGATCACTTCTTGTTAAACACTGCAAAAGGAACAAGTCTGGAATTAAAAGAAAATTTGGTACCACGTTCATTGGTCAACACTTTTGCTCATCTTATATTAAACAAAATAAATACATTTTTTAAATGCACAGCAATTTAAAACAAAGCAATGCACAAAATTGCCAAGAAATTAAATCCATCACACACTTCAGAACACCATCTTCAACAAAATCATTGTTAAATAATTCTACCATTCAGGAATTGAAAATGAACAGGTTGGAAGCTAAATGAATCAGCATGATATCTGTTCACTTTCAGGAGAATGTAAGCATATATTAGTTAAATGAAAATAAAGCTTTCCAAGTTATGTCATGTCACAAAAAAAGTGTCCTTCCTGGGACAAAGAATGTAAATGACATTAATTGGCAAGTAAAATTATTATGTATTACATTTCAACAAAAACTTGGGAAGCTAAATAAAAATGTGAACTGCACTGTGAAAAAGCTTTCACTGTAGAAAATGTCCACTAATTTCATTTCCTCAAATGTTCCCTTGACAAACTGCAATACATTTTTTCCAGTGTTTGGATCACTTCTCTCTTCTGAGCAAACCACTAACAGATGACAACCAACACCCAAAAAGGTTATTAACTTCCATCATTTTCCACTTAAGATACAATTATCACAAGAACATCACATTAATTTACACTACAGGGGTATACTGTACAACTAAAGAATGCTGCGACAAATAGTCTCCAGTGCGCCTTCTATGTAATCTTGTTTATTAAACTGTACACTGATTACTATATACAATATATATCTGAAAGCACAGTCTGAAGGCTTATGTTAAGTTAAGGGATCACTTTACGTGGCCACAACCTTACTAGCGCTTTACCTCCACTCATCTTGCTAAAATGTCACTTCTCTTTTAATGCAATAAAATATTCATGAAATTAACAAAATTCAGAAAAGTATATTACTAAACTCTTTGGAATAACCTCAGATTTTCTGGCATAATATAATTAAATGTACAGTACAACAAATATTCTATCTCAAACTGGCTGAGAGTGACAATTTTCTCCAAGAGCCCAGCTAGCAAACATCATGGTCTTCAAAAAATTATATTATTCTTTAAATTTATGAAAGTGTTCATCTTGCTGTTTGAGAATAAGCTCTTCTTTTGCCAAGGTTCTTCTTCTTCTCTCTGATCATTAGCTCAAAGTCTGCCCTGAAATATAACCGTAATGAGCATTGTGATAAACATAATTAATAAAGCACGTACAAGGTAGTCACCAGCACAAATACTGCACTGCATTGAGTGACAACATGGCAAGTCAATAATCTAATGAATTCCTACAGGCATGCATTTCAATAAACCTTCCATATTTAGTGCCAAGCTTTTATGAAACGTTTTACTGTATATACCACTCACCAAGCCCCCCCACCCTCCCTACTCCCCCACCAAGCCTCCCACCCTCCTACTCCCTCACCCTCCCTAAAAAACCACACACAAGTTATGAAAAGGTCACACTTGGGAACACATCTCATTATTATTGCTTTATTTTAATGGTAATTAATGATTCATGATCCGATGATTCACCTCACACTGAAATATTGGAGGACACATTACCGTCGTTTTTTGAGGCTTTATTGTATTCCTTTTATGTGTTTGCCCTTAAGACAATTATATCTTTTACCTGTATTGTATGTGTGTAGACACATACACAAAACACATACAAAAAAATAATACAATAATGTGAAAAATCCTCTCACAAATAATCGGAAATAAGACAAAAAAAATTTTTACAAATTTGAGTCTACCCTTAAGTCAACTCCGTGCTTTGTTATTAAGGTTATAACAAAACACGAAGTTGACGAGGGTAGACCCTAATATTTTTAAAACATTTTGTTTTGCTTCTGATTATTTGCAAGAGCATTTTCCAATTATTATTTGTTTGTATGTGTTTTATGTGTGTGTCTATGTGCACACACACACATATATACAATATACTATCATGTCACAATTCTTTTAAGCACAGAGCTGGATATTATCACATCACAAGTCTTTTAAGCACAGAGCTGGATATTATCATGTCACAAGTCTTATAAGCACAGAGCTGGATATTATCATGTCACAAGTCTTATAAGCACAGAGCTGGATATTATCATGTCAAGTCTTATAAGCACAGAGCTGGATGTTATCATGTCATAGGTTTTGTTGTCAGAGATGAGTACTGTACTGTACAGCATCTTGATAAATAAAATGGATAATAGTTTACTTTCTATTTAGAAAATGAGGTTTGTGTAGTGGAAACAACAATAATAAGTGGGTAAGATTAATGCATTACTGTACCTGGTTGTTTAGAAGTAAGGCCCAGCAAAGCTAAGATGGTTCTCCTATTTCCATTGTGGCTGAGGCACAAGACAGGTGTTAGTGGACAACATCTACACCTGTGACTCTAAACCTTAACTTTAATGTTCCTTACACAATCTACAATCTGCTCACTCACTATTTTTCACTCAATTACCACACATTAAACTAGTGTGATATTGTAAATTGTTTGAATTCACAAATCTAATTTTAGTTTACCCTATACTATTTTAACAAACTGACAATAATTTAAGTTCATAAACAAAACAATGGTTTGACACTGATAAGGAACTCAATAAAGGTTGAGAATCACAGAATTTAAAAATAATTTGTTAGTCACAAGACAATCATTTACATGACAACTGTTTAATACTGTATATACTGTACTGTATTTCAAGAATATATAATGAAAACTACAGTAGAGTATCTAAACTGTAATTTAACTACAACCCCAGTTATCTACAACACTTAACCACTGTACTGTTTCATCAAAGTTAGAACTACCGTACAGTGCTCCCTTCAAGTACGCGGGTAATTGGTGCCAATGGAGCAGAGCGTACTTGGGAACTGTGTACTTGGGTACTATAAACGAATGGTTCTGGGACCCCTCCAGATAAACACCATGAACCCAAAACTGGTCTTTCAAAGCACTTTTTCTGCACATATGAAAGTTACCCTTAGTTAAATACGTGTACTTTAGTTATACAAGGTGAATAATAACACAGAAATAAGCCCTTGAATATGAAGTAAAAACACTTTCTTGCCATTGTCAAGCCAGTCTATTATCTCCTCCTTGCATGCCAGGGTCATTGACCTCACTCTTCTGCCTGGCTGGGCAGATGCTGGAGTCCCAACAGCAGTAGGTAGGGTAGCCATGGCAACTGTAACAACCAATAACACCTAAAAAATACAGGAAAAGGCAAACCACTGAAGTGCCTTGAGGACTGGGACTGCCGTCCACGTCGTTGGTGACGTCACAGCCAGGAAGTGACATCCTCGTCTCTTATTGGTTGGTAGTGACCACTCGGCTAATCTCTCTCTCTCTCTCTCTCTCTCTCTCTCTATCTCTCTCTCTCTCTCTCTCCCGTGCCGCACGGAAATTTACGCCCACGTACTTGGGAGTCTGGACCCCGTGCTCTGGTATTTGGGTTGCAGGGCATTGATGCAAGTAGTTGGGTTCTGCACGGCTAAAATCCACATACTTGGGAAGAGCACTGTACTGTACATTCAATAAAACACTTGTCCAAAACTACACTACAGTCGGCCCTTAACATACGCGGGGGTTAGGTAACAGAGATACCCGTGAATATTAAAAATCCGTGTACTATTGTTCCCCCCCACCAAAACAAACCTGGCCCCCCAGGTGTCCTTATTTACCGTATATACCTGTGTGTAGTTCGAGTTTTTAAGACCAAATTATTTGGCAAGAAATTGGGGGTCGACCTTTAAACTGGTAATAGTTTCGTTAGGTTGAAAAATATTTACCAGTAACTACCAGTAAACAATGGAAACGACACACCAACAGCTGTGAGTGTCGGTACAGTTGCCAGGGCAGATCTCTTGCGTCATCATAGCAAGCCCAAAGTAGCCAAATGCATGGTATGGTATACACAGTTCGATGTAAAAGAAAGTAGGCTACTCCTGAATGTGCTGCTTAAGGATCTGTTAACCAAAATTTGATATCTTGATTATAACTTGTTCAAATGGCTTTTAGAAAATGTTCAAATGATTTTTAGAATATTTTAATTACTTTTGCAATGCTAATTACTCGCCACTTATGGGTTTTCGAGGTCATTTCTTGGTGCTTGTGTATTATTCTGGATGTACTTAAATAGTTAGGCACATTAAATTTTAGTTCAGAGAGAAAACGTATTTTTGGCCAAAAATCCTTTAAGGCTATAGACTTACAATTTTCGTCATTTCGGCCAAAAAATGGATTTTGTTCAAAATTTCAGTATAGGTACTCCTGAAGGTGCTGCTTAAGGATCTGTTAACCAAAATTTAATATCTTGATTATAACTTGTTCAAATGGCTTTTAGAAAATGTTCAAATGATTTTTAGAATATTTTAATTACTTTTGCAATGCTAATTACTCCCACTTATGGGTTTTCGAGGTCATTCTTGGTGCTTGTGTTTTATTCTGGATGTACTTAAATAGTTAGGCACATTAAATTTTAGTTCAGAGAGAAAAAGTATTTTTGGCCAAAAATCCTTTAAGGCTATAGACTTACAATTTTTGTCATTTCGGCCAAAAAATGGATTTTGTTCAAAAAATTTCAGTATAGGTACTCCTGAATGTGCTGCTTAAGGATCTGTTAACCAAAATTTGATATCTTGATTATAACTTGTTCAAATGGCTTTTAGAAAATGTTCAAATGATTTTTAGAATATTTTAATTACTTTTGCAATGCTAATTACTCGCCACTTATGGGTTTTCGAGGTCATTTCTTGGTGCTTGTGTATTATTCTGGATGTACTTAAATAGTTAGGCACATTAAATTTTAGTTCAGAGAGAAAAGTATTTTTGGCCAAAAATCCTTTAAGGCATAAGACTTACAATTTTTGTCATTTTCGGCCAAAAAATGGATTTTGTTCAAAATTTCAGTATAGGTACTCCTGAATGTGCTGCTTAAGGATCTGTTAACCAAAATTTGATATCTTGATTATAACTTGTTCAAATGGCTTTTAGAAAATGTTCAAATGATTTTTAGAATATTTTAATTACTTTTGCAATGCTAATTACTCGCCACTTATGGGTTTTCGAGGTCATTTCTTGGTGCTTGTGTATTATTCTGGATGTACTTAAATAGTTAGGCACATTAAATTTTAGTTCAGAGAGAGGAAATAAAAATCCCGTTAAGGCTAGACTTACAATTTTTGTCATTTTCGCCAAAAAATGGATTTGTTCAAAATTTCAGTATAGGGTACTCCTGAATGTGCTGCTTAAGGATCTGTTAACCAAAATTTGATATCTTGATTATAACTTGTTCAAATGGCTTTTAGAAAATGTTCAAATGATTTTTAGAATATTTTAATTACTTTTTGCAATGCTAATTACTCGCCATTTATGGGTTTTCGAGGTCATTTCTTGGTGCTTGTGTATTATTCTGGATGTACTTAAATAGTTAGGCACATTAAATTTTAGTTCAGAGAGAAAAAGATTTTTGGCCAAAAATCCGTTAAGGCTATAGGACTTACAATTTTTGTCATTTTCGGCCAAAAAATGGATTTTGTTCAAAATTTCAGTATAGGTACTCCTGAATGTGCTGCTTAAGGATCTGTTAACCAAAATTTGATATCTTGATTATAACTTGTTCAAATGGCTTTTAGAAAATGTTCAAATGATTTTTAGAATATTTTAATTACTTTTGCAATGCTAATTACTCGCCACTTATGGGTTTTCGAGGTCATTTCTTGGTGCTTGTGTATTATTCTGGATGTACTTAAATAGTTAGGCACATTAAATTTTAGTTCAGAGAGAAAACGTATTTTTGGTCAAAAATCCTTTAAGGCTATAGACTTACAATTTTCGTCATTTCGGCCAAAAAATTGATTTTGTTCAAAATTTCAGTATAGGTACTCCTGAATGTGCTGCTTAAGGATCTGTTAACCAAAATTTGATATCTTGATTATAACTTGTTCAAATGGCTTTTAGAAAATGTTCAAATGATTTTTAGAATATTTTAATTACTTTTGCAATGCTAATTACTCGCCACTTATGGGTTTTCGAGGTCATTTCTTGGTGCTTGTGTATTATTCTGGATGTACTTAAATAGTTAGGCACATTAAATTTTAGTTCAGAGAGAAAAAGTATTTTTGGCCAAAAATCCATTAAGGCTATAGACTTACAATTTTTGTCATTTTCGGCCAAAAAATGGATTTTGTTCAAAATTTCAGTATAGGTAGGCTATTCATTTTTTAAAGTGTATTTATAGATACTGTACATAAATTTTTGTTCATTACATTTGAAACATCACTCTTTGTTAATTAAATTTGAAACAAAAGAAAACTACGATACCGTATTTTCATTAAAATATTATATCACAAGTATATTTTATCTTAACTGTGACGAATGAATATGTTCTCAGAAATAAATATGGAAATGTAAGATTTTGGCTGAAATGATGTACATATTACAGTGGAAAGTGGGATAAAATCATGACGAAAACAATGACTTTTGCTTTCTTTTGTTGTTCAAAAGATTTTACCGTAATCGCTTTTCGAATGGTTTTCAGTTAAAAAACTGTTGTACTGTATTACAATAACATTCTATCCTATCATTAACCTCATAATCCCACAACTGAAAACCATTTGAGAAGCGATTACGGTAACATCTTTTGAACGAAAGAAAGAAAAAGTCATTGCTTTCGTCACAATTTTAACCCACTTTCCACTGTAATACATACGTCATTTCAGCAAAAATATTACATTTCCATATTCTCAGAAATAAATAGAAGTATTGTTGAAAAGTAATGCATTTCAATGTAAATTAGAATAAACTACATGAAAACAAAAGACTTTACCTAACCTTCCGATGTTCAAGATATGTTACTCGTTTTTTTAATAGTTTTCGGTTAAAATACTGTTATATTAGTGATATTCTATTCATACTGTGCTTGATATAATACATTCACGGAAATGTAACATTTTTGCAACTACAATGCTGATGTCAACACAAGCGTGGTTACAGCGAGACTGACTGAGTGAGGGAGAGCTATGCGTGTGTGTGTGTGTGTGTGTGTGTGTGTGTGTGTGAGGTTGCGGGAGCGGGCGGTGTCCCGTGTGAGGTGCCGCGCGCAAGTTGAATGGCGCGAGATTGTAATGTACTTCAATTACTTCAATGTACAAAATATTCCTCCAGTGGGGCAATCCGCGTATTTGCAAATCCGTGTATGCTAAACCCGCGTATGTTAAGGGCCGACTGTATTGTACATTAATTCATAAAAGCAGAACATTTTAAAACTTACCAAAAAAAAATTAAAATGAAACAAAACCTAAAAGAATCTTTGTACAGAAAAGGAGATAAATGAAGTAGGTTAGGTTGAAGCATAAAGAAAGAATACTTAAAAAATATTGAAATAAACTTTACCTTCCTGGATGAAGAAGCTTGAAATAATAAATGTAAAAAATTTTCAACCAAAGTATAAGTTTAATTTACAAAGTACAGTGCTGTACATTGGTGAGTATTATTTATCTGTAACTCATTCTTAGCACAAACAAGCCAGGACTAGAGAAGCATTGAATAAAACAAAGATAAACAATACTGTACTGTACTCACTGCTTAACTGCATCCGGAATGTTTAACTGATCTAATGGTACCATCTGTGCAAGTTCCGTCAAGTTATTCACAAACGTTACCTTGCGGTAAAACTTGGTGCTGTAAAAAAAATACATAAATAAATAAAATAAAACACAAAAATTCTCAATCTTATAAACAAATGATCGATTCAGATAAAACACTTAATGCATGTTCGCGTAGTGGTTTTGTGTTTATTTAACATTAAATAGGCTCGTCAGGGGTAAATCATGGATTTCTTGCAATAATTTGTATAATCCATTATTCATGTGCATAAAATTCTATATAGTGGTGAGGGTTTATTACTATTATAAATAATTAGTCTGATGAACATAAGAGGCCATCACTGGGTTGAGACCAGTTGGCTAGTGTTGTCATTTACTCTAAATCTGGTAAATTGGTTTATATAAATATACTAATAATCAATTACCAAAGTATTTTAACAATTAATAAGAATTAACACTGAATTAAACGAGTTTACATCAAACTAATAAGATAGTTTGGTATGACATGTTAAACGGGGATTGTTTCCTACGCTTTGTACTGGTGGAAGACGGTCAGAGCTGTACATACACCCAGAGAGACCGAGAAAAAGTACACGTTCTACAAAATTTAAGCTATTGGGTTTTACTTATATGTTCTACCTTAAGTACCTAATTGCTTCAAAGAACAGCTGGTTGCAGTCTTCATAGAACTTCAATAAACTTGAACCCTTCCTACAATAAGCTAAGTATCGGAGTACTGTTATGACAAAGGTGAAGTCATGGGATAGGGTGGAAGAGGTAAGCCTCCGTTTTACTTTTAATAAATTAATTAATATTTGTGAGTGTAAGCTACACTTACCACATTTTTCTCTCTGGGTATGTGAGGGTCATCCCCATGTATAAACTAGAAGCAAACTTGTATGGTTTACTTTTCCTATCAAAAATTTGTTTATGCCCAGCTACAGTGTACAGTACATGGGTGTGCAATGTGCTTTTCACCTTTTCAGCTCAACACATCATGAGAACATTCCATGTGCCAGAGCTCACTTGGAGCTTCTTGTGTGAAAATATTTGTCCTATGGTCCTTAGTCTCAAATATGTCTTTTTGCTACTGATAATGGCTCCCCCAAAGCCTCCCTCAACTTGTTGCATTGTAAAGAAGTCATTATAGAGAGAGATCTTAACACCAGAAGCTATGTATTAGATATTGAGAACCTCTTCCATGAGTAACAGCAAAATGCCTGTTAACCCCTTCACAATTTTATTCAGCTCAGAGGGGAGCCCCTACAAAAGATTACCTGCTGAAGGGTCAGTTAAAAATTTGCATCAGGCCTATTAACTTCATCCACAATTGGTTGCTCAGGATTGTGATATGGAATGGACAATCAATATCTTACATCTGAAAACCATTGGATCTTATATGACACTAAATTACTCTTTTCTAAGAAAATGGGTCAACTAAATATGTTCATCAGGACTCTTTCCTTCTCCACAAACACAGCCCAAAGAGGACACACAATACAGTACAATACAATACAATACAACAACTAACCTAATAAATGGTCTAGAAAATGCCACCACAGCTCGAACCCAAAAGGTTGGGTGCACAACATGAAGAGCTTTTAAATTCTTGCGAAGCTTGCGATCAATCATTTGATAAGCTCGTTTGAGCCAGTGGAAACTGGGCATGCTAGATCTTGGGGTGCCTCCAGCCAGGTACACCAGAACATAGTCATCAGCAACCAACTGTTCTAAAGTGGACAACACATACCTGAAATGAGACACAAATGAGTTTAAAGATGTTACTCATCAATATGTACTGTACACAAATTACCTAACAATCCCCTTATACATGTCCCGTGACAAAATATAATTGTCTAACCAAAACTTTCTCATTCCTGTGATTTACAAAATTAAAAACTACCTTATATACTGTACTGTAGTGTACCATTTGGTATACCCTGTACTGTACAGTAGAATAAATTTGAGATATAGTACCTACTTATGACTATACAGTATTTTCTAAACATAACAGTTAGTTCCATGTATCAAACTTTAGATTAATAACAGTACTTTACACAAATTATATTTTAATACAACAAACTTGGAGTTTTTTATCAGCATTTTAGACCAGGGTGTCAAACATGTGGTCCGACACCCTCTTACGTGTGGCCCACTGGCTGCACCTTGAACAGCTAAGAGCCTAAAACATTAGCACTTGAAGTAAAAATTTAAGATTACAGTACTGTATTTGTATCGAATAATACTCTTTTAGTCTATTGACTATCTATTCTATTGAGTCTGTTCAATGGCAGACGTTTTGTGAATCTCAGTCCAGTACGTATCTGGTGCAAGAGCAACGGCCTGCTAATGCATTGTTACCCCTTTGACTAGTGGGGGTTTCCCTCAGCTGAATAAAATCGCCTGGCATTTGCTAAAATAAAAGAGCAATTAGAGATAGTTTTAATGGTTAATTGTGGTTCTAAGCATGCCACTGTATGAGTTGTGAGATGGGTCGACCACTGGCTGAGCACCGGTATTAGACGTGATAGCTCCGATGAGGCGGGCTCTCGCTTGGACAGTCACACAGTACTATTCCTGTATAGTCGCTCAAGGCAGTTGGAGTGTTGCAAAATAATATCAGAAGCTGTGTCCATTGTTTTTACCTTTGAGCCCATAATCGTGTTATCAAAGAAAAGAACAATTAATGACGAGCGTTGGGTGGTACAGGAAAAGTGGAAACTCTTGTACTTTATTGTTGAAATGAATGGATAAAGGACATATTTAATTTGTTAGCAACAGATAGCTGTTGCCAAAGATGACAACATTTGAAGACATTATGACACTAACCACGCTCCCAAGTATAATAAATAGAGTGGCAAGTTACATGAAGACAAAGTTAAAGAGTTAGAGCAGTCATTGAACAAGCAGCAGTCAGTATTTATGAGTGTTCATCAAGTCATTGATGCTGCAGTTAGCAGTGTCATCGAAGCCTTTTTATGAAGGGAACAGTATATTGATGGCTTCAGAAGATATTTGCACAGAAAAACGTCAAGCATTTGTAAACATTAGCCTCTCAATACAGTTGCAGAGAATTAATGAATTACTAGAATATATTATGTAACAGTCAATTCAAAGACAAAGTTATGTCCTTTACTGCATTCTGTTGCAATTGATAAAAGTTCTGATATAACTGATGTAGCACAACTTGCAGTTTTTATATGTGGTGTGGATGAAAATATGCAGTTAACAGAAGAGTTGTGGAACTGGTACCAATAAAAAGATCAACAACAGGTGATGATATCTTTGCGAGTTTGGTAGGGGCACTTGATAAATTAGGTGTTGACTGGGTACAAACTGTGAGTCTGGCTACAGATGAAGCACCACAAATGGTGGGTAGAAAAGCTGGCCTGGCAACAAACTTAAAGGAAAAACTAGTAACTGTGAACCCAAACCATTAATTTCATAATTTGCATTGCATTATACATAGAGAAGTGTTGTGTAGTAAAACATTAGAGATGGATAATGTCATGGATGTCGTTATGAAGACGGTGAACTTTATACGAGCACGAGGTCTGAACCACAGACAGTTCAAATACTTTTTGGAGGAAAATGAGAACACACACAGACTGCCATATCACACTGATGTTCGCTGATTAAGTCGGGGAGTCGTACTGAAGCGATTTAATGAATTACGTAGTAAACTACAGATGTTTATGGAACAAAGAAAAGGATGTGCGTGATTGAAAGATAATGACTGTTCAAGATCTAGCTTTCATGATGGACATTACAGAGCACTTAAATTACCCCGAACACAAAGCAATGATGCAAGGACGCAATAAATTGGTAACAGTTTTAGGACTGCATTCGTGCCTTTGAGTTGAAACGGCAGCTTTTTAAAAGGCAACTTGCAAAGTAAGCTTTCACACTTTCCGACCTTAAGTCCCTACAAGGCACACCTGAGCTTCATGTTGATACCAACACAAAAAAGTACTGCATCAAGATTTCCAAGAATATGATTTGCCAACTTTAAATACCCTGAGAAATATGTTTCCATTTTACAGAACCAATTCTGTCAGTGTTAATGAGATACCAGAACATCTTCAGTTAGAATTATTTGAGCTCCAGTGATGTTGTTTTGAGGAACAAGTTTTCCAGTGTCGATGTTGGCACATTTTATCAATATGTGGGACCAAATTATCCCAGGATTTAAGCGTTTTGCCTCAAACATTATGTCCATGTTTGGAAGTACATATGTTTCTGAACAGTTCTTTACTGTAATGAACATTTAACAAATCTCTGCTTCATTTTCAACTTACTGATGCACACCTGAATTCAATACTGAAGATTGCTGCAGCTCAGTTATTACAGCTCCTCCCCGACTTACGGCCATCCGCATTTACAATCTGCCTCAGTCGTACCAAAATTTTGTCAAATTACGTATTTTCGAGTCCCAATGTCAATACACAGAAAAAAATTTCGTTTGTAATTCACTTTAAAATGGCTGGCAAGCTTAAAAGTGAGAGTTTTGTGGTGCCGAGAAGAAAAAGAGACCCATTTTAGATTTTCTACGTATTATTTAAGCATTTTCGACTTACGACCTGGATTTGGGTTCCTAACCCAGTCGTAAGTCAGGGAGGAGCTGTAGTTCCCAACTTAGATGCATTGGTCTATAGCAAGAGGTGCCAAGTATCAGGGAGCAGCAGTACCAGGCAATAAGACTAATCAAGGTAACTATATGGTATACAACACACAGCATTAGCAGGGATTTTTCTTTTTTTGAGAGAGAGAGAGAGAGAGAGAGAGAGATTCACACTCGCCCTTAGGTGCCAGCACCTCTAGACCTGTTCCTGTACCGTATCCACCTCCCTTATTTTGCCGCACTACTCCCTGAAGGGGCGACCGCAAACTGCTTATAATTATGTCACATGGCCCGCATAATGTGAACTCATATTAAATCTGGCCCACCGTAGCAAATGAGTTTGACACCCGTTTTAGACAGCAAAAATCAAAGCAAAATAAATAAATTCAACAAGCTACTAACAAGAATTGAATTTAAAAACTTGTATTCATTTAAAGAGCAAATATTGTGAGTGAACTATTATGAGTCAGGCCAGTCATCCTTTGTTATTGACTGAGCAGCCAGTCAGGCTAAAGCACTTGTAGACTCCTTTTCTACAATCTGATGTGAAGTCAGCAGCAGGATGGGAGCCAATGAGGCTCAACAACTTTGGTGTTGCACATCACAATGGTCACTGAATATGTTTGTTTACATTCATCTTAGCCAAACACAGCACAACCATACATTCTCATTGTGTGAAAGTCTTTAACTTTCCAAACGAGACTTTAATCACAGACCAATACTGAGGGAATTGGTAGCCAAGGTGCCCATACCTAAGATCAAGTGGTGACGGTGATAGAGCAGCTAAGTGATCATCTTAGACCAAAAACAGTAATTACTCATATTCAAGCTTAGAGCATCAGATGGCTATTTCTTTAGTCTAGTCAGTTATTTGTTTTATCTAAATTAACCAAACTGTTGTAAATAAGAACACATACAGACTACAGAGTGGGACATAAAGTAGTAGCTCTAAAGTTACTCTGTTTTTATCATTTCCACCACTCATCAGTTTCCTAGTTGTCTACTGCTAGTACAGTACAGGAGCAATGTGTAGTAGCTACCCAGAGAAAACCTGCCATGTTTGTCAGCGAGGGTCACACTGGATAACACCCTTCTCATATCAGACCTACAGTACTGTAGGTATTGAACCCACAACTACAGTGGTGAAAGGCAAGTGACCTAGCAGTGTAATACCAACACCCATTTTCAAGAGACATAATACTAACAAAAACAAGTTGTCCATGACGTAGTTGTAGTCGCGACGTGAGCGATCAGGCAGCTGGCAGGCACAGATGACAATCACAGCATTCTTATTTTCTCCCAAGTAGCCCCCATGACTCACACACTGTGATGGTAAAAACATCAAAATGTTATTCCAAAATAAGTTTTATTAAAATACTGTACTGTACTGCATTAAAACCAGTTCTTTCAGAAATCAAAGACTTTTCCCCATAAAAGGAGATACAGTATCAGTGGTATTCCAAATGCAGTTAAAGAAATCCACTAGATCGTAGAGTAATAAACATCTGCCTAGCATCAAGTGCTAACCTTACGGTAAGGAGCGATGACTTTCATGTCAATTCTCCGCCACACACCAGCAATCACAACACTCCTCCAGTGTCTCTCTTCTGTTGATTCTTCAACAGCAGACATCTCTGGTATCAACTGAGAAGGTGGGGGTGGTATAGGCTCAAAGTGCAGCCCCATGTTGTACTTCATGTTTGCAGGTTCAGAGCTCTCAAACGCTGATATATCAAAGTCTTCATCCTGTAGACAACAAAAAGTTCTCAAAATCCCTTAGTGTAGTGTAGCTTTTTTTTTTTTTTTACGGGGAATAGCCCACCCGGGCACAGGTCATCGACCCATATCGGGGTCTAGAGGGCGAAAAATTAAGAATAAAAAGAAATTACAAATAGAAAAGGAAAAGGTAATATTAATCTACACCACGAAGATGCCGGGAAACCAGCTTTCTAAAGCGAGACAGATTGAGTGTGGAAACACAGAAGAAGGCAAAGCATTCCACAGTATGGCTGTGTGAGGAAAAAAGGATGTACTGTAACGGGTTATTCTAGTGTGACCGACATCCACAGAGAAATGGTGGGCACGATGTGTGTTACGAGCCACACGGTCTTGCCAGCGGTACACAGGATGCCAGATCCACCGAAGATTACCCGTTAAAGAACCTGTAAAAGAGAGAGTGGAACAACATTGCAGCAAAGAGAAAGGGAAGAAAGATTGTCAACTCAAAGAAGAGAGTTAATAAGACAAAATTCCTTTGATTCCACCCTATCTAACAGTTGGACAGAAAAAGAGCCACCCCAGATATGAGAGCAGTACTCCAAGTTAGGACAATGAATCCCTTATATACTTGAAGCAACTGCTCAGGACTGAAGTAGCTACGGCATCTGTACAGCATTCCCAGCTTTCGGGAGGCAGCTTTAGCAATGTTGAGAATGTGTGGCATCCATGACATATTAGAGGAAATGGCGAGGCCAAGCATATCTATTTTAGAATTTCGCATAATGATGGCATCCTGAAAATGTGATTGGTGGGAGATCATCTAATTTGTAAAGTGTAGTTGGTAAATACCGAGTTTTATTCCTGTTGAATTTAACCAAGTCTCAACCTCCATTCGGAGATGCCGCACAGATCCGCATTGATAGATGTAATGATATCAGCTTTAGAAACAGATTTGGTTTGGGTTAGGAGGAAGGGGAAAATGTGAAGAAGAGTAGAATCATCAGCATAAGAATGGATACAATTAGTTGTAGTGTGAAGTAAATCATTGATTAAAAGAAGGAAGAGAGTAGGTGAAAGAACAGAACCCTGTGGGACACCGCTATTGGTAGAGAAAGAGAGAGAGATCAATCCCTCGACAACAACTGCCATGGATCAGTTCTCAAGAAAGCCAGAGATTAGAGAACAAAGTGGGGAAGAGAAACCATGAAAGGGATTTAGAAAACAAAGACTCCCTGATACAGTATTTGTTGGGATTATATATATATATATATATATATATATATATATATATATATATATATATATATATATATATATATATATATATATATATATATATATATATATATATATATATATATATATATATATATGTATATATAAAGTGAACCCTCACTTTATGCAGTTAATTCAACCCACGGCGGCCCGAGTAAAGTGAACAACATAACATATGGGATTAATTGAAATAGAGACCGGGCCGACCCCCAAACTCCACTTTTTCAGACACAATACCTACGTTGGAGTAAAAATAACTTCTTAATTTTATGATGGTATGCACACACAATTAATAATTAAGAGAAATATCAATAATATTAGGTTTTTTAACACTTACATTAGTAGAAAAGATGGCTGGGCACACGGGGATAGGGGGTTGGTTCCGAGGCAGAGGGCAGATTATTGGCCCTCACCTGTATCACTTGTATCAATTGTATCACTATCCACCACAGAGGCTTGCAGGGCCTCTTTGTCAAACCCCTCGAAGTCCATATAAGTCCATATCCTCACTATAATTATCACTATCACTGACTTGGGCCGGCTGTGGTGGGTGGCAGGTGAATAACTCGGTAATGTTTTGATGACTGGGCAACCTTGTGCGCATTGTGCCCACGCCGCTTCCTGCATATATGAGTAGATGAACCGCGTTAAGTGAAAGTTCGGTTCTGGCGAGGCACCGCATATATAAGAAATCGCGTTAAGTGAAACCGCGTAAAGCGGGGTAATACTGTATATATATACATACATACATATATATATATATATATATATATATATATATATATATATATATATATATATATATATATATATATATATATATATATATATATATATATATATATATATATATATATATATATATATATATTATACATACATATATATATATATATATTATATATACATACATACATACATATTATTACATACAATATACATAATATTAAGAGATACATACATATATATATATATATATATATAGAGAGAGGTATATATATATACATATATATATATATATAGGCACACACACACACACAGGTTGAAAATCCCTTATCCGAAATCCTTGGGGCCAGAGGCATTTCGGAATTTTTCGGTTTTCAGAATTATTTTTATTTATTTTTGTTTTTTTAATGTGTATTAGCCCGCCCGGGCATAGATCACTGACCTTAATATCATCACAATCATCTTCTTCTCCATCACTTCTCTGGCTAAATGCTGAAGCAACAGAAATAGTGTCATCTTCAATAGGTGATCTTAGAATGTCCTCCGCAACAGAGATTCTTTTTCGTTGACTTGTACTGCCAAACTCCAGACTAACTGGCCTCTCTAGCAATAAGAAAATGACAATTAAAGAACACTACCTTATACAGTATACTCGAGGAGGTACACATGGAGGTACACATTGTGGTGCAGCGATAACAATCAACAGTGTACAAATAACTATTTGTCTCCAATTCATTTCCACAGCTTTTTACAATGTTTTTGTGAATTATTAAGAGAACATAATGGTGTGACTATCTACAGAATGATTATGAGCCAGTTTGAGTGTGGTGACCAACATACAGTGAACAAGTTAACTTAACATGTAAACTCACTAGTAGCCATAGATACAATATTAAGCTTCCTTAAGACACTTTGTTCAACTGCAGATTAATAGTACATAGTTTAATGTAACTACAGTACAGGTGTAAATTATAACAGAAATTAAATTTTATTTTGTTTGTGTACTTTCTCATGACTGAAACTACACCTACAATATACCATTCACAGGGAGATACAGTGTACACAGTGATAGTACAAAGAGATATAGTCGTCGATGAGAACGGGAAAAGAAACTATAATGAAATATTAGTTAAAATAAAAAATAAATAAAATCAACAAGCTTGGCTATCCTTAAAGGCATTCTATTACCGCCCCAAAGAAAGTTTGATTTAATTTTTCTGTGTTTCTAAAGGATTGGGTGGGTGTATAAACTCAGTTATTCATAGCAAAATGCAGTGTATATAGAGATAGCACATAAATACTGTACCGACAAATAGCCGAAGTGAACTGAAAAAAAAAGAGAAGAAAAACAGAAGACAACTCTAAAGGCAACAGGGGAGGTTAACACCAGCAGAGGGCAGCTAAGTGCTGTTTTTTTCTCTTTATTTTTAAATAGGTGTAGATCTATACAAAGTCTGCACCCCCCCCCCCCTACAACAACCACCATGAGTATGATATGTGATTACTGCAGGGGGACGTCGGATACAGGCCTGACTAATGCAACGTTTAGAATGATGCAAACTGCCGTAAAGCATGAAGGCTGTTGCTGGTATTGCCCTGACTGCAAAGTCAAGGTGAATGAGGCGATTGCAAGCCATAGGGGAACGAGTTCCCGAGGGACGAAAATAGATGAAGCTGGAGCCTTGCTGGTTGCCAAACTAGAACAAGTTGGGAAAGAGATCCTTGCTAAGACTGAGGAAGTAGCCGACAGAATGGAGGTGGTTGCTAAGAGGAGTTAGCAGGGCCACGGGAGGTGGAGAGTAATGCAGGATTAGAACAGGTTCTACAGCAGCAAGGGACTCTGAAGAAGTGTGTCGAAGAAATGAAAATTAACAGACCTACTGTTAGGGGAGAGGAGGAACAACGAGAACGTTTCCAGCACAGGAACACTGTACAATAATAGTTTCTGAAGTCCCCGAGAGCCAGGCGGAGGGAACTGAGAGTAAGATAACACACGATAAGATGCAGTTTAAGAATATTTGTACAGAGGTTCTGAAGATGCCATCAACACCTCAGGATGTGAGGAGGCTGGGACAAAAGCAGGGGGATAAGCTTCGCCCCCTCAGGATCACACTAGTGAGTGAGGAGGAGAAATGGGAGGTTATTCGGCAGGCAAAAAACTTAGCAAGGAGCGAGGCATTTTGGAGTGTATTCATTCACCCAAATAGCACAGTAATGCAGAGGAAACAGCACAGGAAGCTCCTGCAGGGCTTGAAGCAGAGAAGGGAGGAGTCGAGGAGGAGCGGGGACAGGTGCATGGGTTACATTCAGGGAGAGGGTGGTGGAAGCAAGTGTGCCAACACAGGGCCGGGGGACAGCAGCTCACCCTCCACCCGCTCTACCCCCCGCCTGGGAGGTGGCACCAGCTCTGCCTATCAGCCGGGAGGAGGCGAGCGCCTTGTAAACAATGACATTTCTAACCACACCCTGCAAAATACAGTGTACTTAGCAAATGCTGCAGCTTCTGAGAATGAGAGGGGGAGCGGGTTTATTACTAAGAGCAGAGACGTTACCGAGAACAAATTGTAGCTTGAATGTCATGTACACTAATACTGACATGTTCCTTGATAAGAAAGAGAAGTTTTAAACAATACTGAAGGTACACCAACAAGATATTGTAGGAGTTGTAGAACTGTTGTACAAGAACAAGAGAATCGACCCAGAGGAATGCGAGTTCATTATTGCTGGATATGACCCCTTTATGAACTTTTCTCAAAAACTTGCAAGAGGGGTGTGGTTATCTATGCTAGGCAAGACCTTAGAGCCAGCTAGGCAAGGGTACAGGGAAAGGATTTTTTGAACAGTCCAACTGGTGTAAAATTAAACTAAAGGTAGGGGACTTACTTATGTCGGGTGTATCTACAGTTCCCCAAACTGTGGCCCACTAAATCAAAGGAACTCAAGAGCCTTAATAGACAATGCAGCAATGCTCAAACCTAGCCACCTCCTTATCATGGGAGACTTTAACTATGGCGACATCGACTGGAGAAACGAGTTCACCCCAAATGACTTGAATAACCCTGCTACTCTTTTTGTAGAAACTCCAAGATAATTTTTTGTTCCACCATGTTAAAGACCCGACACAATACAGAGGGGAGCAAACACCCAAGCCACTAGGCCTCATCATAACAAACGAGGAGGGTACGGTGGCCAAACTGGAACATCTAGCCCCAGTTGGAACAGTCACCATATAGTGTTGTCATTCAGATTTAACTGTTACCTAGTTCAAGATAAGGCTACGCCAAGGTGCAAATATTACAAGGGAAATTACAACGGGACAAGGGAAGAGATGAGGGGTAATCACTGGCCTGTCTCATTAAGGCCAGTGGTGGGGGTCATCCCCCACCTCAGATACAAGCCAGATAGGTCTGTGTCCTAACCTAATATGAGCAGAGAAAACAATATGTCTGCGGACCACAAGTCCACGTCAACAATACTAAAGTGGATAAGTGAGAAAGTGATCATAGTGTTGGATGGATATACTTTCAGCCTGTTCACTATCCCTGTGATGGATTGTAGGGACAAGAGCGGCTGAACATAATCTCTTTTAGTGGGTCATACTGGGCTTATATTTAGACCTAAAGATCCTGATTGAACAGCCATAATTTTGAGAATCAGTTACGGTATTAATTAATCTCGATAGAAAGAAAAGAAAATAAACACGTGAAATGCTATACGTCTTAATTTATTTAGTTAACTATATTTTTGTAAGTTATCATGGATTTATGCTAATACAGTGGTCCCTCAGTTAATGAAATGTGGGCTAACAAATTACCTCCCATAAGGAACGTCAATTCGGTTAACGAACAAAACTTCGATTAACGAAATCCTGTTCTATGTTTACATTCATTTCCAGTGGAGTAAATATCAAGAAAGTAGTGCTCTTTAATATTTGTGCATTTGTTATATTAAAATTATTAGTCATTTAACATTTATTTAACATATTGATAGTATATGCAGTACAGGGAACTAGTTTTTTGTGCGCCGATGAGACGCTTGACTCAGCCACCAGGCGTCAGATGGGCTTTGTTGACAGTGGAGTGAACATCTATTTTGTTGGTGTCTTGAATATTTTTGCATTTTTACATTAAAATTATTGGTCATTCTGAAATTTTGTTAACATATTGATAATATATAGCGCAGTGCAGTGTTGATTTAAATAAAATAATCTTGAATTACACCAAGTGAACTTAAAATTTTTTTGGTAAAATGACTGCATCAAGCATGGGTCCACTGGAAGGTGATTTCTCCTCCACTTCCATCTCTTCTCCCTTCTCCTCCACCCCCACTTTTAATTCCCATCATCATCATCATCAACCAGGAACCTTCTACATACACACCTCAAAGTAAGTGTACTTTATTGCATATTTTTTTTTTACTTTGGAACCAATTACCCAATATCCCATTGAAACAATGGTTTCGATTAACAAACGACCCTCTGAAACGAATTGTGTTCATTAACCGAGGGACCACTGTATTTGGGACAATTAATAATTTTGTTACTTTTTACTTTCAGGACTTGAGTACTTCATGAATGAGATACTTTTTATTTCTTTTGAGTACATTGATCTTTGGATAATTTTACTTCTACTTCGGTAACATTTTGCCAATGTAACAATACTTTTACTTAGGTAGCAAAGTCCAGTACTTTTTACAACTCCGCTGTACTGCACTGTTCCACACCTAATGATATATAGTCGATCCAAACTTAAAAAAATATTGACCTTTCACCAAGAGTTTTGTAAACATTCAAATATATCACTAAACGTAAGATTTTCCTATGTTACAAATATAGAGAAAAACTTACCTTTCTCAGGAGATTTGTTGTCAAAGTTACATGGAGTTTCAGGAGTGGTGGGCGAGACATTCATGTCTGATGCATCACTGCCTTCAATCAACAACATGGACACATTAATTTCATCTTTGTCATTCTCTTCACATGTACTTGTGATGACAATATGTGGCACAGGTACACTTGTATATGGCACTTGGATTTCATTATTGCTGGTTTCCTTGTCTGGCACTTGAACAATTTGTACATTAATAATTTCAGTATTTGAAAGGTCTGGTACTTCATTGCACTCTTCATTGGTGCTAGCACTTAAGTCAAGGGTTGGAGCTTTTATCTTTTTAAGACCAATATCTTGTGATTTGCTCTCAATGAAGACCCCTTCCACCTCGAGGTCTTGGAGTCCTTCCTTACTGAGACGAAGTGATCTACGTCTCTCAAACCTGAAGCCCGTGTCTTCTTCAATGTCATCATCGTCAATAAACACGGCCGAGGATCTCTTTGATGGGGTGACACTAGAATCACTCATTTTAGGGTTGGTGTCGTCAAATACGGCTCGAATGTCAGTCTTGACGACATTATCTAAATCCAGACCTTCTGCAGATATCATTTTCTTTGGAGAGGAAATTCCACTATCAGTATTACCAGAAGAGTTATTATTGTGTTGCTCTTGTAGAGAATTGTGCAAAGCCTCGATCACATCCTTGTTAACATATTCACTGTATCGCTCAGAGTTATTCAAGACCTCTTCGATTTCTTTTGGTGTGAGTATGTCCTGCAGCCTCCCACTAAGGTTGTAGATATCTTTATATTTTGTGAAATCGAGACATTCACGAACCTTCATAAGTGTGCTCTGTTCGATGCTCAGGCTCTCGTCTTCTGTCACGTTCAGGTCGATTGCTCCAGAGTTAGAGCTTTTTGTACTACTAGATTTAGGTGTGGAGGTGTTGGTCTGCTGGATCACTTGCTGCAGCTGTACAGGCGCATTATCGCAAGTCAAATTTCCCGACATCTCTCGCATAAAATTCTCGCCAGCTACAATGTCCGAAATATTTTCCCCCACTTCTTCACTCCCATTCAACATGTTTTCTATTTCCTTAAGGTCTCTGGCAAAGGTTCCCACAGCATCAGATGATAAGGACATACCCACATCCTCCTCTTCTATGTTTTCATTATTGTCCAACTTGGATCTACTATTATGCTCTTCTGTAGTAATGGCCGTTTCTTCGGGAACAATTTTCCTGCGCATACTTCCGTGTCTCTGAAACTCTCCAGTCCGCACTAGTCCTTCTATCTTCTCTGCGTCGGGAGCATGGATGGGCGTCAGGTTTACTTTTCGCCGAAAACTTTTGTGCCTCACAAATGCATTTTCATGGGAGTTGGGTAGGTGAAATTCTTCAAAATAATCTTCCTCTAAATCACTACCAACTTCAAAGCCATATCCTTGCTTGGCTGAGTTATCAGATGTCTCTAATTCATCTGGAAGCATAAGCTTACTGTTACTGTATACAAAATGCCCTGCCTACACAAGTACTGCACTTCAATGAGCAACAAGAAATAAATGCCTACATCAGTACTACACTGCACAGATCATCAAATAAATTACTATCCATTAAAACCATAAAAGGAACAATTCAAAACTACATAATATAATTGTACAAAGCTGATACTGTACAAATGTTATTCCGTTAAGCAAACAAACATACAACTAAATAGGCTATTAAAAACTGCATAAATAACTTTTTTACCATTAATATGAAACACCATCTGGTGAGGCTTGACATAAGTACTGAATTGTTACACCTAAAACAAACTAATATTTACCGTACTTGTATATTCAACTAAAAGAATATAGCATAGCTCAAAAAATTTACATAATCGCATTTTGCATGCAGTATTTACTGTACAAAAAACACATCATCATCCAAGCTTTACCCTCCCTTAAACCCCAACATGGTAACACCTGTATAATTTCTTACAGTAGCTCTATTATGCCATTAAATCATCTCCATACTTACAACTGTATTGTGAACCCAACCCCTATTATTATAACCACTACACTACTGAGGTGTATTAACTGCTACCTACACCTTTATTGTGTTACTCTCCCCTATACCTACAGCACAGTACAAGTACAAACTTTTAGAGATGCAAACATCATCACTGAGGGGGGTTACCTGCCAGAACAGTTATTTAATGTGGATGAGACTGGATTATTCTGAAGAAATTTCCAGATAAAACAAACATTACCTAAGAGAAGAGTGAGCCAGGTTTTAAGGCTGTATTAAAGGGTATAGCTGTACTAAATATCCATTATCTTATCATTTTTTACAAGATGTTTGGTATCTACAAGAGTAAAGTTGGACTTGCAAACAAGCCTCAGGAATGTAACTCGTTCGTAAGTAGAGGAGCTCCTGTGTTACACTTTTTAGCCTGTGTCAGTTGAGTACTGTACTGTAGTGTGACCCATAGTTTACCCAACTAGCCACAGCCTTATCTCAAGTATCCCCAACTGTACTAAAGATGTAATTCTCCCAATCTGTGTAGCTTTAGTTGTGTAGCTAGCCCCCCAGCAACACCAGCCACAAATGCTTTATTATCTTTTTATCTGTTCAAATACTTAATTGAAACTGAAGGATGAGAGAACTGACTGATGTAATCATTTATGCTTTGTTTAATTATCGATTTCTATCAAGTCACAAAAGAAGAAAAATCTACTTAAATTTCATTTGGGTGAAGTAGTTATATACTTTGGTAGCTATAGCATGTTAAATATAACAGAAAACTATACTGTTTCCTACATTATTGGCACTGTACCATAAATCTCTATCAGCTTCTGAATACAATTAATGTACTATACTCATGATTATTATGATACAGAAGACACTAACACACCTGGTTTATATGTTGGAGTAAGTAAGTTTGGAGTTGCTGAGTGAAGACCTTCCATCGCCTCCTCTGACTCCACAAAACACACTCCATTACATTTCAGTCTGTCAATCTTCAAGGCGCGAGGACTGGTTGGGAATTCCACTGAAAAACCAACACTGACATTGCAGCTTGTGTTACATGATATAACCTGGCCAGGTTGTACCACCAGTGTAGTAAAGATCCAGGATTATAAAGGAACTACTGATGGATAATTCATCATCATTTTTTATGGATGGTTTTCACACTTGTGTGGGTTAGCCGTGATTACCCGATGGGAGTTGCTGGGTAAAATCAAGACAATGTCCCTCCCACCCCTCCAACCCACTCACCACCACACATCCAGGGCACCAGCCCATAAAATATGGCAGAGACCAGGGGATGGGTACAGCTCTGGTGACCCATCAGACATGTTACAGCAATGTTTTATGGATGGATTCTCTCCCTAATGCCAACCCACATGGTGGGAACAGCTGGTAAAGCATGGTCACAACTCCCCGAGATAATCAAACACTACCAGCCTACATTTACATTACAAGCTCACCGAAAATGAAATAATATTCAATATTAACAGCAAAGATGTACAGCAGACTGCAACAAAAAGTGATACAGTTAACATTATTAGGGATGAAAATATTTACAGCATGTACACAATAACAGGAGACACAGAATGTTAACATACAAATACTGTATAGTAGCCAAGTAGCTACACAAAATATGATTACCATTAATAAGAAGGAATATCAGCAACTGAGAAGCTACCAATGAGAGTTACCGTGGGCCTCCATGTGCCCAGGTGGGATGGTCAAAGTATTACACTATAAGTGTGTCAAATGAGGAGTGACTGATCCACATGTAATTTAAGGTTTTTGAAATATGTAGTTAAATTAAAAACGATTTTTCATATAGTTACGCGAATGAAGGGAAAATAAAAGATATAGATGGGGTGTGGTGGAAGCATCGTGGTCTGGCACACACACACACACACACACACACACACACACGTTGTGTGGAGTCACTGGGTGGTTTGGAAGTGTTTATTTCCATTCATACTTTCATAACTACAACCTATGGTAATTTTTCTTCGTGTTCATATATAATGAAGATAATGCAGAGTATAAAATGCCATATACAATATTTATACATAATATCATCTATACAGCCGTACTATGACTGTGTGTGTTCGTGCGTGTGTTGCCTCGTGATAGTTAGAGTGGGCTCCCATCCAGAAAGGACACTGTTCTAACCTCCAGCATCGACCCAGGTGGGCTAGATATTATGGTATCCGAGTGTACAGCATTGAGGAAAATTATGCCTCACAGACAAAGGTTGTACAAGCACCTTGAGAGCTCTATTTTAATCACCGTCTCTTTGATAAGCTCATCAAACACTTTCTGATGTCGTCAACAGACTTTAAAATTCACCCTTGTCACACTGTTAGTCTGAAATTCTGCCATTTGGAGAAAAATTTAGCTGCACCTTAAGCTCTATTGCAAGGCAACAGTATGGAACTAACTTGTCAAGTCAAGTCTTGGGTCAGGTGCCTCATGCAAATATACCAAACCTAATCAGATTTCACATGGCCTGCCCATTTTCCCACAACCTTACCTGACCTAATAAGAGTGACAGAGTTAATCCCTGATCATAATCTATGGTCCCGACTTAACACATTAACTACTGCAGTACTCTCATGTTCTCTCTTTACACCTGGCCTAAGAAAAATTATCTGTGACCAATGTAAAGGACCTTTTATGATGAAGCTTGGGAAGTCTTGGTGTAAACCTTGGGATATGAATCAACGGCTATACGGTACATTTACCCGTCTCTGTTGTGTAGTCCTCAGGAGCCGGCAGTGTTAGGTCAGGGGTAGCCAGGCCAGAGGACGAAGGAGGTCTAGACGACGCTGCCGACGAAGACAACGATGACCCAGCCGTCAAGTCGAGGTCGGTGATGACAGACATCTGTGAGGACGAGGGCGGCCGAGACGATGCTGCCGAAAAATAGGCAGAAGAGCCAGCCAGGTCGGGGTCGCTGGTGGTGAGGTCACTGGGTGCCAACGAAACCTGGGAGGCAGCAGCACTGAGGGGCGGGCTGAAGGAACCCTTCACCTCCCTGCCGTCACGTGTGGCCACCTCATCACTCACTACACCACCACCACCACCCACAATGGCTTCACCACTCTCACCACGCATCACAACCTGCAACAGTAAACATGACATTCATTACCTAAAACTTACTGTATGTTCTACATAAAAACAAAAGATTAACGCTCATGTTGATGATCTTCATATTTTCGTTCACTCTTCAAAAGCTTTTCCCTCATGCTACACCCCCACCCACCCTACTATTACTACTTTGCTGTCACTCGGAATCGAGTATGACGATCATCCAGCTATGATACGAGTTGTTAGGGATGTCACCTTCGTTGGCGAGTTCTGAGGTGACGAAAGAGGCCGATACGGGACTGGCAGGGTCGTTTACAGATGTTGCACATGTTAGGGACTACATCTAGTGTGGGAGGGACAGTGGCAAGATCTTTCCAACATTGGCACTTGACTGCCTCTGTTTGCAGTCGTGCTACCTCAAAGTACTGCATTGACACCTTCTCATGTGGTGCTCCTCCAAGCTTTACGGTGTGGAGTAATCATCTCCCAGGTGAGGGGGTCAATTTGGCACTTTTTCAAGTTTGTCTTAAGACTATCCTTATACCTTTTCAGTTACCCACTGGCATTACGTTTACTATTCGTTAGGTGACTGAAAAGTAACTGCTTTGGCAGTCTACTGTCATCCAAGTGGGTAGCATGGCCAGTCCAATGTAGTTGTTCATGAATAATGATAGTCTCGATGCTCCTGCAGTTGGTGTCAGCAAGAATACTGGCATTTGTTCTCTTATCTTCCCAGCGAACTCGGATGATGAAACGTAGATTATTTTGGTGAAAGTTTTCAAGTGCCTTGAGGTGCCTCCTGTATGTGACCCATGTCTCACTGCCATATAGCAGGGTAGGGTGGACCACTGCTCGATATACATGCAGCTTTGTAGATAATTTCAGCTCCCTACAGCTGAAGACACGGGTACGGAGTCTGCCAAAGGCTTGAGATGCACACCTGATCCGATGTTGAATCTTTTCATCGATATCCACAGTGGTGGACAGGTGAGAGCCGAGATACTGAAAGTGGGTAACATTATAGATATAGAGGGTAGTACCATTAAGCTGGATGGATGGTGACGTGCACACACATGACCTACGTGACCTCCACTGTGAACATAAACTTGTATGTACACTGTATGTTCCTTTTCCTTTCTCTAAATAAGGCTTTTAAGTAAACTCCCCATGGCTTTGTATGTAATAAGTCATTTATGTTCAATGTACATTTTCAGCCTTCGGGCTGCAGAGCTTTTTCAATAAACCGTTAATTATTATTATGTTAATTATTTTACACACACACACACGAGGTAAAGAAAGTGCTTGGGTATTTCTTATTACAGAAAGCCTCCGGGAGATTTTGGGAAGGGAGAATAATGGTGAAATAATAATGATTATCAGAATTATACAGTATACTGTATACGGTGCTGTTGTAGTGGATACTCTCCCCTACAACTGCCACTGCTGGTAGTCGCTGATCCCGCGACGAAGTTTCTCTGACAAGCCTTGCCGTCTAGCGTCGCAGGGGGTCAGCCACCGGCCACGCTTACTTACAGTGGACGTGTATATAAGCTTACAGCCTCACCGTGAAAAGGGTTCTACTAAACGCTCTCAAACAGACATGACCTCCTCTCATCAATCTCCTCACCACATACCAACTCCCTAGGACTGCACTGTATATAATATATGTATATAGACAACGCCATAGCTGAATTTCCCTTCTCACCTCCATCCTAGTGCGAGCCAACATCACCTTTATCCCACACTGTAATTCTATTTTTTTTTCTTTTTTGGGGCACTCCAAGTACAGTGGGTCGATAAAGAACATAATCACTTACCTAAACTAAAACTTATTGTAGTTTGCTATAATAGTTTCTTACCCCGCCAATTTCCAATAAGTTATAGAAGCTATAAAACAAAAAGATACTAGAAGGCAAGAAAGAATGTGTGTGTGTTTGATGCTAAGTAAAGATAATTGTAAGAAGTGGCTTAACATTCTAAAGATCTCCCACCGTGGTTGCCAACAAATAGCGCCTCATCACTAGTCAACACTGCTCTCTCATACATGTTGCCCCCACGTCAATATCACCTTACATTTTGGTCATATCAGAAAGTCAATTGTGAAAATGACAAAAATGGTACTTCTTATAACAAATACTAATTCAATACGTGTGCTAACCTAATACTGTACCTGTACTATGTATTATGTACCTAATACTGTATATGCTCAGTACTACCACACACTTATCCGATATTACCACATGCTAACCTGATCCAACATACCCAGCACTACCATATTGGATAGGCTATCTATCCAATACTACCTCATATTACCACATAGCCAATACTACCTTATATTACCATATAGCTAGTCAATACTACCTCATATTACCACAGTTAACCAATACTACCTCATATTACCACAAAATTCGCCAATACTACCTCATATTACCACATACCTAGTTAATATTACCACATAATAGCCAACACTACCTCACATTGCCACATAGCCAGTCAATACTACCTCATATTACCACATAACCAGTCAATACTACCTCATATTAGCCAACACAACCACATACATACAGTCAGTCCCACTATGACGACACAGTGCCCACACAGTAAGCTAACCAATTCTAATATTAATGTCGTTAGAGATCGTGTCGTATGTATCACCAATATTGTTTTCCGTCTATTATTCTCTTTGTTGGTAAACATTTATAGATGCAAATGGTGATCGCTGCCCTCCACCTCACCACTTGCTGCCAGTCACCCGGGAGTGGGCGCGCTCTTTGTGAGCGTGCGCACACGCACATTAGCCCACCACAATTTCGCCCATATGAGCTGTAACTCTATCATTCAAACGTGAAAAAATCTTTCACCATTCTGGAGATACAGACAAGATACATCTCGAGCGCGCATTCCAACAAACCTAATTCCATCTACTTGATCTTGTATGGTGCAACAGCGAGAAATAATCCTTATCACTTCCACCACACCACCTTCACAATAAACTGCCCAGACAGGTAGAACCAACTGGTGCCCTAGTGAAAGGTTTCCTTCTTTGTTGCTGCTGGCTGGCGAGGATACTGTCGTACTGCACTGTTGAAATTTCCTTTGTAGTGTCGTGACCATAATACTGGGCAGAGGATATAGGTATGGGAGCCGTATATAAAACCTTGATGTCAATTGGTACGGCAGCCTAATGCGCATGCGTGGTGGGCAGACTACACAATGATAGTTACCAAGATGACCTTCTTTCTGACTAAACTACCTAAACAACCAAACATACCCATAGGGTTTGGTTAGGGGATTCTAACCTGCCCCAATACAGTACAACAACAAAACATGTGATCGTCTCGTTGTTGGTTTTCCATCATTCTATGATTTAGAATCTAAGACGGACTGTGGGGAGGTGTGGGAAGATCTGTTGGACGGACTGTGGGAGGTGCGGGAAGATCTGTTGGACGGACTGTGGGGAGGTGCGGAAGATCTGTTGACGGACTGTGGGGAGGTGCGGGAAGATCTGTTGGACGGACTGTGGGGAGGTGCGGGAAGATCTGTTGGACGGACTGTGGGGAGGTGCGGGAAGATCTGTTGGACGGACTGTGGGGAGGTGCGGGAAGATCTGTTGGACGGACTGTGGGGAGGTGCGGGAAGATCTGTTGGACGGACTGTGGGGAGGTGCGGGAAGATCTCTGTTGGGGTTACGAGTGGTCAGATGAATGGCTGCTAAAATTTAATGTCACGAAATGCAAAAGGATGTGTGTGTGTGTGTTTTCATAGGTTGAATTAGGTAAGTTAGGTTATCTATACCTATTTCCTACTTCTCCACGCCCATTCTAGCTGATCCACGCCCATTGTAGACGACCCACAACTCAGTACCAACGGAAACAGCAACAATCTTGGGAGAAATTCAAACATCCGCTAAAATATTGTCCCTTACCCAACACCATCCAGTCGTCTCCTGAAGTCCATTGAGAATTAAGTAAACTAAAACGTATTACTTCACAATATAACACAACACAGTAGAGTATAAGAATAAAGAACGATATGGTTGGTCAGTCAAAACGGTTGAGTACTGTACTATAGTTATACGCCTGGCAACCACGCACTTCAGCTTGACAAGAATACGTGACACCTCTACACAGTATTTAATCGGGAGTTTATACCTGTAATAATTATCATAAAACATGTATAACTTCTATAAATGTTAACTTACATATAATAGCTGTCATCAAATAAAATATATAATATGCAACACATTATTAGTATTTTAAAGAGTTAAGCTAGGATTCCATTCACTCGTTTGCAGCAGCGTTTGTGTTCAATTGCTACAGGGAGTGATTGGCATGTACTGCAAACACATAATGCTAACGCAACCGTGCCAATGGAAACAACCATGTACATTTCAATGCGATTTATTTTTAGCGCTGACGCGTAAAAGGAGTCCTACCTTAACGGAGAAGCGAGTGATTTCGTAACTTATTGTTGGCACTTTTGAAAACCTGCAAAATGTTTATGCAATGTATGCAGTACAAAGGCAGAAGACGAGGCAGAAGCAGCAACATGAGGGGGAGGGGTGAAGGAAGACGTGTCTGGTCCGGTGTTAAGGCCACACACACCAGACTGTGTAACCGTAATCGATTACATACTTATTTTTGGCAAAGCATTCAGTCACGTTAAAAATGTAATAGTAATCACGATTACTTTCACGATTATAATAGTAAGTACATACCAATATTTCATTTCCCTTTCTTACAATACTGAGATCAAAAGAGTCATCTACATTCAGTCCTTTATATGACTCGGTAAACATCCACATGTCTATAATACTCTAGCTTCAGAACACTTCACAGTTATTTAGGTCAGATATATTTCTGTATTTATATTTTCCATATTAATCTTATGAAAATTTAGATCCAGCTATTAAAGATTGATTTTTTTCTTGTCTATTAACTGTCCACACCATTATAATATATAATGCCTTTTGTTCATCTCTCGGAAAATAGGATTTACTTGTACCAGGTTGACAAACAGTACAGTAAATTGAG